TTGATTCATACAATAGAGAAATGAACTGCTGTTCACCCTTAAACTCCCAAGATCTCATTAGTAATTCTCATTATTGTTTGCCATAAGGTTCTTGTGATGTTAGTATGGAGAATTTGGTATTGGATCAACTTATTATCCTCTAACTGATATTTTTCTTTATTCTCATAACTTGTCTGCTTGATATCATATTGATATTGTAAGGAGAAATTTTTTCTTGGTCACTCATGGGAGTTAAAGGGTTAATGGTGATGTCATCTATGTGTCTGCCCTCTAATGGATCACAACTAGGAACCAATCAAAATGTGCAATTTTTGCTAGCATTTTTGGGTGTTCACCTCTGAGCCGTACTTTATACTTATTATGTAAAAGTAAAAAAAAAAACCCTCAGCAGAGTGGATTCCAATTTATTGTTTCCCTATATAACAGGTAACTGTTATATAAAAGGGTATCTTGAAATACTACATAGAAATCATGCAATACTCCTTACCTGTGTTTGTTTTACATCTTCACTCTTTGTTGCCAACACATTTGATGCAACATCGTACAACCAAACAGATCCTACATCATCTCCAGCCAACATCACTGAGCATGCTGGAACAGATATTGTTTAAAAAAATGGTTATGCAAAAACTGACAAGTTGAAACAATTTTATTCCAGTCTGTTGAAATTGTGTTTGTTACATATCCCTAACTTTTCACTAAATGCAGGTCACACCCAGAGGTCAATCAAAAGAAAGCATGTCTTATTTTACCACAACTCGCTATTCTTAACCTTTTACACACTAACATCAGTATGCATATTCTCCATACTGTTTTCTAGATGTTTCCTAAGGTGCTGACAAGGAGAATTTGTTTAACAATCAAGTTCTTCATTAGTTGGTGATTATTTCCCTTATTCTTGTGACCTAAATGTGTGATTCAGGGATGATATTGTTAGGAGAACTTAGATACTGGTCACTCTCAGGGGTTAACTAAGCCTTTCACTTTCAAGCTGGCAGTAATGATTCTCCTTGCTGTCCATCATGCAATTTTTATCTCCTCAGTTTTAAGAATTTGTCGTAAAACCAAAAGATATCCCCTAGTTGATGATCCTATTTAATTATCATGCCCTTTCTGCTCAATAATGGATTAAATTTGTGGGGAAAAATTGCTTGTTGGTCACTCCTGGCAGTGGAAGGATTGATGCAAGATTGACAAACCTGGTACAAAGCTGAATTTCAAGAAAGGTACTTCAGTGAGTCTCCATGGCAGCTTGTGAGCCACTCTGAAGTCATTCTGCAAAACAATCCGACAAAGCAAATCATTGACTTTGCTCAGATCAACAAGACTTATGTTTTGATACCCCTTCTGGTGGTCTTGCTCAGCTGTTATTTAGCACAGTGACTGTTTAATAGGCATGGATTACAAAAACATCAGCCCTATAGAAAGTCTGTGGGAAGACTATGTCCACTTGAAGAGGGTCTTTGGAATAACCATTTGTAAACCTCAGTCTCCTAAAAATATTTCGCCTTTAAGCAGAAAGCAATAATTTCAAAATTACTTCACATTCATACAAATTTCATGATGATCATGTTTCACATAAAAATGAAAAACCACAGGAAATTCCACAAAATTCGCAAATTTAACTTTTTTTAGACTTGACCAGTCTTATCTTAATGTATAATCTTAAATGTTCAAGAACCATTACTGGTCTGTTTTATGACTTTTGTCAATCCAAATAAAGTCCATGTCCTGTCAAAACCTTGGTCAAAACTTAACCACAGCCACTTGAGCATAATACTAATACTAAAAAAAATGCTAAAAATTCATCATGCAAAACTAACTGAGTCACGAGTAGCTTTAATTCAGCTCTTCATCCATGGGTCATGTTCAAATGGACATGAAAAGATCTTATCATCTTATCAAAAGAAAAATCAAATCATGATTCATGAGAAAAGAAATTGCCCAATCGCGCTTTACCTTATACAAGTATAGGGGACCCTCCTCCAAAGAAGTGAATCTGTAATTGAGTCTAATTTACAGAACACATGGGGTGTATATTATGGCAATGTAATAGTTTACTGCTTAATGTAGGATGAATAGTTGACAAAAATCAGCTTATTACAGGTATGACTGTATTACACCTCATATACTACATGAACAGATGGAAAAGGCTAGGATGAAGAAGCCTGTCATAGACCTTTTAGAAAACTTGCAAAAGACAGAGAAGAATAAATAATCATTCAAACTCAACAAACCTTCATCATTTCTGACTCTGAGTGCCAAATATGAATGCAACCTTCTTCAACTCGTTTAGTAGCTGAAGAAAAACAAGAAAGACATCAGGAGATTAGCACTACTTCTACAAAAATTCTAAATCCTAACTATCTAATCATTTAATTTCATGTATATCTTCCATATTGGCTTCTATGACTAATGATAATGTTGTTTTACAATAAATAGAGCCCACAATTTAACCCCACACACCTTCCAGTAATACAAGTACAAACTCCACAGCAAATAAATTATTCCATCTACTGGATCCATCCTATCCTTCCACTCAAAGAAAAAGTGAGTCAAACTTACCGATCATATTGTTTGTCAAGCACACAATACTGTCTAAAGGAATTGTCTTTTTACCAGGAAAATCTAACTTTCCAAAATATGTCCTAAAAAAACAGAGGTAGACATTTTGAGAGGCTTGCACTTCTGCTATTTTCAAGACCAACACAGTCACTATTATGCTCTTGAAAAATAAAAAATAAATAAAAGAAATATAAAAGTTTTAAACATTGGGATATCTAGGGTTTAAGTCAGTGGCTGCCAAATAGGCAGAGAAGAATGAATTCATGAGTGTTATGAATTTCTTTGGCAGCTGTGCTTTTTGTTTTATGAACAGAGCATGTTCAAACATCCTTCTGATGTCATCATTTGGATCCATTGAAAGAGATAAGCCTCAGAGACTTGTAAGCCTTTAAATCATCAGAAGAATAAGACAGGCTGCTTTTTAAAACAGCAAAAAAATATCAATGACAACAACAACAAGGCATATTCTCTTTAATTTAGAAAGAAGAGCTTGGCTGAAAATCTACAAAAAATCACCACATAAAAAAAGAAAATGCATTTTAGGAAAAACAAAAGTCTTACTTTGTTTTATCCTTTTTATCTCCTTTATCAGTTTCACTATCAAATAGATTCCAGACATAACAGCCATCGTCACATCCTCCAACAACTACTTTGCCATGCGGAGGAATTGAAAATAATCGCACTATTGAACGAGATTTCAATGTCAGCAGGAGTCTATGCAAAAAATAAAAATACATATATTATTAAACTAGAATTACCCTTAGTAACATAACCCTTTAACCCCTAAGAGTACCTAACATCCTATTTCTCCTTACATTATCACCCCTGAATGAAACATTAATGTCATGAGAATAAAGGACATTATCAACAACTAAAGATGTTGATTGTTAAACAAGTTCTCCTTGTCAGCACCTAAGAAAATGTATAGAGAACAGTATGGAGAATATCCATACTGATGTTAGAGTGTAAAGGGTTAAAGGTGTCACGAATTTTTGTAAATTGGAATTAACCCTTCTATTAAAAGGAACTGAGATCAAATTCTTCTAACTGTCAGCCATAACTCTCAAAATGTTAGTTCTAGGAATCTGATGTTGAATAAAATACAATCTCTCCCTGATAATAATGTTACACTTCCCAGATTTCAAAACACCTCCCAGGTTGTAAAATCACCTCCTGGATTCCAAAACACTTCCAAGATTTTAAAACACTTCCCAGATTAAATAGCTGGTCAATAACTACAATTGCTGTGTGCTCACTAATCACTGAACATTACTAAGAAGTTTTTGTTTGGGATACTATTATTACTGCTTAGAATTATAGTTTATAGCATGGGATTACTAGTCTATGTTTGTGCAGAAACATTCAATTCAGTTGAAGAGTGTGTAGTTGCTTATAGGAGTAGAGGACATTGAAATGCGTCAGTTTTGATGTTCATGGAATTCACTAGACCCTAAGACATCTAAAATATTTAATAAACCACAAGCTTGAATTAAAAAGAGGAAAAAATCAATCTGGGAAGTGTTTTGTTCCTATGGGTCACCATAGTAACCTATTACTAAACCGACACAAAGCACCATGGAATTTATTTGTTCATTAGTTATACATTGATAAAAAGAAGGCACTTACTGTGATTTTCCCTGGTACTCGGCTGCTTTAGGCAGACCTATTTCCCACACCATAATAGTGTTATCGTCAGCAGCACTTAGCAACCACGTGGGATGATGAGGGTGAAAAACAAGACACTCTAGAACTCCTTTGTGTCCCTGAATTTCTTCAAAGCATACTAGCTGATTAGGTTCTATTATTTTAATGTCATTTTGTAAACCTCCTGCAGCAATAAGGTTGCCTTTTCGTTTCTTTTCTGAATCATAGTCTAAATAAACTGTAGTCCATGCTACGCAGTAAAATGTTTCTCCAGGTTGTTTGTATTTTTTCATGACGCGTCCAGTGCTGCAGTCCACAAAGCAAACAGAATCTCCTCCACATGTGGCACAAGTTGTGGTTGTGTGACCTAACAGCACAAGGAAACAACTTGTTGAACGATTAACCCATAAAGAAGAAGTCATTCTAACCCTTAAACTCCCAGAACTGACTCAAATGTAACTTCTTCCCACAATATCCATCCACTATCCAGCAACCAGGTAATGAGAATACTCAAATGTATCAGGTGGAAGTTGTTATCTTGATCTAACACCAAATTCTTGCTACTAATTTACAAGGATGTGTAGCAGCTAGAAGGGAGAATTAACAATCAGATCTAGAAAAAAACATGCACTCCTTACCTTCTCTCTCAGGATCTGGTTCAAATTCACAACCCCACACTTGAGTCTTTCTGTCTGTGGGATCGTTGTTTAGTGAATGTGTTTGAAGTAAATGAGACACAGCAAACTGACAATAAGCAGGACTGCTGTTCTCAGCCTGTAGAATAAGGAAATAAACCATTCACTGTAATAACTTTAATTAAGGGTTTGATAAGATTTCACGATACTGACTCACTTAATTAACACAGAGAGCTCCTCAGCTGGTTAACAGTATAATTCTCATTGTGAAGATGAGCCTTCTTGCTTCAAAGCTGACTTCTCCTTACTTTTTAAGGAGCTAATATTGGTCAGAGGTGACAAATACAAATCAAAATAATGATTAAATTAATAACCTTGATTTCTCTCTTGTGTGTTCTTTGTTTCTTTTTAGTCACTTTCCCTTCTGCTGTTTTTGATTTCTTTGGTTTGTCTCGTGCATCATTTGCAACTTCAGCTTGACCGTTAACTGAAATATGAGACAAGGTAAAATCTTTAATTCCTCATCTCCCAGATCTGATTTGCAGTTCTTTCTTCTTGCTACTTTCCATACATTTAATCTAAAAGATTTTGTTTCTTGATGACAACACCCTCTATATGATATGGAAGGGGACATTGGGGGTTCTGAACACCAAAATACTGCAAAAAATTTGGCAAATTCTGCAATATTGCCAAGAAAATCACTAAATACCACAATACTTCATTATCCCTCATTACCAATGTCATGCCAAAACCATCACTCTGTACATTACATTTGGAGCAAATGACAGATATAACTAACAAGCTAGAATTTGTTAATGGAAATTCAATCAGATATTTTTTTTAATTTCAGTCTGTTTTTGAAAGAATTGGAGAGTGGAAACAGCTTGGAAAACACTGGAGGACTTGAAAGATAACTTAAGATACCAAACAGCATCTTGCAGGTTTGGAGAATATGGCAATTCCAGATTAAAGTTACCAAAATACTCCAAGAACAGTCCAAAACAAGTCCCACAATTTCCCAAAAACCCATTTTCTGCTTTGCTAAGTTTGTTTATTCATATCACTTTATTTTTGCACAAGGTAACGATATTGAAGGGATTTCTTTACAAAACACGACTTTGGCATGAAAAGTGTTGACCCTTTACACCATAACATCAGTTTGTATATCTTCTCCATACTCTTCTCCATATTTTTCCTAAGGTGCTGACAAGGAGAATTTATCTAAAGATCAAGAACTTCTTTAGTTGCTGATCGTTTTCTTTATTCTTGTGAGCTTAATGTCTGGTTCAGGGGTGATATTCTAAGGAGAAATTAGATGCTGATCACTCTTAGAGGTTGAAGGATTAAATTCACTAGTAAAGGTAACTAGTCAGACAAAACACCAAAAATTAAGATTTTTTTTTTTTCAAAGGTACTGTCACCCATTTTTATTGGCCTCACTTTTGTGTGACTCAACCAGGGCCCACCAGGTATTCCGCCATATTTGCATCCAGTGTTTAAAGAGCTTTTGATTAACAAATATCAGAAGGGAATTTGGCGATGATTTCAGCACTCTACCTCTTTGAGTGTTTTGCAAGGAATAGGAACCTGTACAATATAACACAATGCATTCATGTATGAGTGTTTATCATACCTTGACTGGTTTTCTGTTTTTTATTAGGTGGTTCTTCACTGATCTTTTCCTCACCCTTAATTTTCTTGAAATAGAGCTTTCCTAAAACTGTGAGCTGTTTAAATAACTTTTTTTTAGTAAACATCCTGAAAATTGTACATCTACATCATCATTCTTTGACAAAAGAATCATCAATCCAGGTTAATTAGCAATAACTACCTTGTATTCCCTGTAGTTCTTCAGCATTGCAGGGCCACAAGTAACTTCAGACTGAAAGTGATTCACAAGTGAACAAATTAGAAACTTAACCCTTTAACTCTCAATATCTGATTGTTAATTCTCCCCTGTAGCTGCAACACATTTCCTTGTAAATTAGTTATGAGAACCTGGTGCTAGATCAAGATAACAGCTTTTACCTGATAAGTTTGAATATTCTCATCACCTTTTTGCTGAATAATGTATGGATATTGTAGGGAGAAGTTTTATGTTAATCACTTCTGGGAGTTAAAGGGTTAATTCATACATGGTGGACAAAGGACATATGAACAAGGGTTAAAATACCAACGCACATGTGACTGTGCAGAGGCACAAAAGAATAATTATACATATTAATGTTTTAAACACGTTTTTCGGTAGGTCACCTTTTTTCACATTTTCTTTCCTTAAATAAGGTTAAAAATAAATTATGAGGATGGAAAGAAAAAAAAATCGGAAAGTAAGACATACATAGAAAGACAAAATAACACAGAATGGACTTGAATATGTCTTGAGAATGGTGTACAGCAGTGTGTATCATGTGTCCACTCTCCCAGATACAGATCAAATCTACCACTCTCCTGTGCAGTTCTGGATAATGGTAGACTAGATAATTTTTTTTTCTACCAAAGAAAAGGATTCAACAAATTTCATCTACAGTGCCACTTTTGATTATGTCTGTCTAAGCACGTTCAATTTGTGAAAAGAGACTAAGATGAAGTAGTCACAAGACAGTGGATTAACCCTGACTGGCCTCTAATTTCTCCTTACATAATCCCTACTGAATCAAACATTGAAGTCATAAGAATAAATGAAATGATCACCAACTAAAACAAAACAATTGTTTGACACATTCTCGTTGTCAGTACCAAATGAAGTGTATGAAGAACAGAACAAGAATTACAATATATGTACACTGATGCCAAAGTGTAAAGGGTTAATGCAAAATCCACTACAGTAATAAAAATTAATATTTACCTTGAGCTTTTCAATAAACTCATTTTCAAGTTCAGTTCTTTTATCTTCATCTAACTGATTGTACTTTGTGTTGAATTTCTCACTCCAAATGTCAGCTATCTACAAAGACAATTAAAACAAAAGAAAAAGCAAAAAAAATGAGCTGTACATTGCAGGTAAAAAAGGATTAGGATAGGATTAAAATTATCTGATTGACAAGACCAAAAATGTTCAATCCACATTCCAAAGACAATGTGTAGAAGGAACACTACAGATAATTTGAAATTTATCCTGCTGGGGACAGCACCATCAAGAAGGACAGCACCATCAGGATCTTGGCATTTTTTTATATATAGTATAGAATAATGTGTTCTGTTTAATTTCAAAACCTAACTAATTCCTCTGTGGTCATTGCTCCCATGAATTAGTCATGAAATGGTATTTTTTGCCAACCTTTTGTGTCATAGTAGAATCCAATCTATTTACCGCATCCCTCATCAGACTGATATCCTGTAAACAAAAACAAAAGAAAATGATTTAAAATATACACACTTGTAGATATATAATAAAAAATTTGCACTTTCAGATAGCAAAAAACTATTAAATCCCTTGATTACAAAACAAAAATAATAAAAAAAAAGGCTCATAACATAGCATAAATTATTGCACCTGCTACATGAATATCTCAGAGCATTGAAAAATAAAATTAACCATCACGGTGAAAAAATAGCTTGTCCAGACTTCTACAGCATGAAGTTACTAGGACAATAATTGTTTTTCATACTAGACTGAATGCTAAACAAACATAGGTAACCTTACAACAATTTTTCCGAGGGCACTGTTTGCTGGTACCCATCTATACCCCTGGGTAAAGGGAAGTACTAAGAATTCAAGTGTCTCACCAAAGAATACAACACTGTTACACAATCTGGCTTGAACCTGGACCTTTATCTCCACAGTCAAAATTCCCACACCCAATAAAAATGTAAAGTTTGCACTCTAGCCAAGTGGTCCAGCCAGCTGGAGTTTATCCTGGTTTCTTAGGCATGAAGTGACTGGGATTATTCCTACTGGAAGGTATGCAAGTCCATCACAAGTTCACCCCCAGCATTTCATCAGACTTCACATTAATCACTGACATAACTTCCTCTTTCAAAGACAGTTGGTGTGACAAGCATTAAGATATACACTTATTTAGAATTCAAATACTAACTTTCCCATCCAGAGTTTTTAACAAAGGGCAGATAGACACCAGTTTGTATTTGTCTGAGACCTGAAGGGAAAGAGATCAACACAATTGAAAAAATTTTTTTTTAATCAATTTGCTCTCAAACTTAGAGCATTTCAACCAAATTAAGTTTTGTTTTTCTTCATTGCAGATTACTTTATCTAGGTCAAAGACAGAGCAAAACCAAAAAGGTTGGAGAAATAAAACCCTTTACCTCCCATGATATGATTTTCAATTCTCCCCTATAACTGGCACACAATTACTTGTAAATAAGTTATGAGAATTTGGTGTTAGTTCAAGATAAAATCTTCTCCTGATAAGCATGAGTATTTCCATTGGCTGGATAATGCATGGATATTTTAGGGAGAAGTTACAAGTTAATCACTTCTGGGAGTTAAAGGGTTAAGACAGAGGAAAAATCCAAACCATACATATTTTGCTATACATTACACAATTTCAGTGAAATCTGTAGTTCACCGTACACAGTGATATTAACACTTTACAAAATTTTGGAGAGACCATAAACCAGGATACAATCTATCAGGATAATCTTACTATTTCTCAATTATACATGAATGGAAGACTTATGGCAATGTTGAAAATAAAAACCATTCTTCATAGTTAACATGTAACATGAAATTTGTTACCTCAAGGGTTGGATTGCTAGTGACATCCAAACTAATCAGGTTAGGAAATGCTGTCAGTCCATCCACATTACTAAGCTGGTTGCTGGCCGCACTTAAAACTTTGAGTTTTGGAAAAGCTTTTTCACTGTTAACATCTGATAGTTTGTTTTTTGACAGATTGAGCTCTGCAAGATTTGGTAACTGTTGAAGCAGCTCATTTGGGATGCAAGTCAAACCAAGACCAGATAAACTAAAATTGGAAATTGAACAAAGTTAATGAATTAACAAGTAATACTTCTGTTGACAACACAATGTTTCCACAGACCAATTTCTAGTCTAGGAACAGTAAGGTGTCCTCTTCCTGGTAATGGTACTGAAAAGGGAATGTTCTTTGAAAAATTGACTAATATTTCAATTAACTGTGTGGAAGACATCATAGGAGAATTAAAAGCACATGTGATCAGATTACCCTCTCCTAAATAAACAACTGCAACTCCATGGATTCAGAATCTCATGTCCATTTGGTGTTTTATACACAAACTACTGTATCACAACAATAACACAAAAACCACAATTAAACCTTATAACAACACTTTTACCCCAGGGTTCCTACCCTTTTTCAGAGACAAATTTCAAGAACTTTTGCAAGACTGAGATTGAATTTTCCAGGGCTCCGAATCTCATCTTCAACTATTCATTATCAATACTTCAAAATCAATTCTCCTTACAGTCTACAAACTTTTCTTAGAACTTAAATTCAGAAAACTTTATCGCTTGAGTTAAGGTAATGTATGAAAGCCATACAACTCTCTCTGAATAATGACATATTGCAAACAGAAGATAAAAATGAAATTGCCATGAGCAGAATATGCACAAATTAAACTGACAACTAACTCAAAGGACTTTCCCGCGCATGGGGTTGATCACATGTTCTCGAACAACATTCACAATGGAAATCAGATGTGCGGCAACGTGGTTGTTGCAAATTACTCAATAGTTGTCAAGTCCAGTTGCAATATCAATAATGCATACAGGACTGAAGTATTATAAAAAAGAGCTACCGTTTTCCTTGAAACGACCACAATCTAAATATAAACATAACGAGCATGCTGCGTCATTCATGTGTTAATGTGTCACATGTTGACGCAGGCGGAGCTAGTCACTTCTATCACGATCATGAGCCCCTAAAAAACAAATTAAAAAAACATACATGCACGAAAAAAGCACTAATTAACAGCAACAAATCACATCTCAGTAAGTCTAAAAGCAGTCCAAATTATTTTGTCCCACTCTGAAATGAAGGCGAAGTTTCATTCTTAAACTAGAGAAGAACTTTAATATATCACCATTAGATCGATCTTTAAACAGCTTCCTGTAGATCTTCTAAAGATTACTTACTCGAGCTGTCGGATTTCAGACAAGTTCTCCCGTCCAGAACGCTTTTTGATGTCTTCTATCGTGAGTTGTGGAGTACTTGACATCTTCCTAGCTTAAAAAACTCAGCAATACCACCAGAGTCTATTTGTTTGGCAAGTTTCATCCATCACAAGCGTCCGAAGTAAACAGTAAAACACGTGTGTAGAGAAGACAGCTGTCATGCGCAATATTCCAACTTGTCTAATATAACAAAACTTTTAATTGGATACTAAGAAAATAAACCAATCAAAATTCATAAAAGAAATGTTGCTTTGAAAAGATTCTAAAATGGCGGATGGTTGTGGCTGCACTGGCATTCGGAAGTGCTTACTGTGTGAAGAAAACAAGAAATCCAACAATATGTTCGCAGACAAGCGCAGCAAGAAAACAGAAAAGTATGAATTTTGTATTCTTTGTGGAGAAACGTTTCTCGTTGGTCAAGAATGTTTGCATCGCAAAGGTATTGATGACGTAAACGTTAAATTGAAAGGTATTACTGTGATTCAGAACTTTATAAATGAAATTGAAGAGGAGACGATTGTGGCAGATATTGAAAAAACTGTTTGGAAGCCATCACAGTCTGGAAGGCGAAAGCAGGTGAGTAGAACTCAATGGTTTCACCGACAAGGGCTGCGTTATCAGTACCTTGTGGGGGAGGGTGGGGGGGTGTCACTGAAGTGCAGTTGCAGCGGGGGGGTGGGGAAGTGTTGTGAGTGAGGCCAAATTTTTAGCGCGGAAGAACACCAACAACCCAAAGCATAAATTATAGAGGGAGTTTGGTTTTAACTGTTATTTTTATTTTTTTCAACAAGAAAGATTCTCAGGAAAAACAAAGTTTTAACTCATGATTATAATTAAAGTTCTTGTATTTCACCTCCAACATGGTGCCTGTGTCTCTGTTGTTTGCTGACTGTTTGTGAAGCCTAACTGTCTTAAATTTGTGACTATTGATGGAGATCGTGATTTTTGACAGATACAGCTGATGTGTCTGTGGAGGTGTACATCCAAATGGACAAATTTGTGAGACAGAGGATAATATTATTGTTGGTAATATGATGGCTTTGTTTGTTCCTGAAGATAAAATTTGCCACCCAAACATTTATTTCCTTTTCCTTTTAACATGTATTCTCATTTGTCACAGGACTTTGGACCTCAGGTGAATTTTAAGAAAAGGAAATTAAAGCTGAATAACTTTACAGGACTACCACAGTTCAGTAAAGTTTTGGTGGAACGGATGTGGAGGACAGTTCCACTTTTGTCTGATTTTCAACCAGTGGAACTTTGTAATTTAGAGTATACACCAGACAGAGGCTCATCTATTGATCCACATTTTGATGACTTTTGGGTGTGGGGTGAGCGTCTAGTCACAATGAACCTTCTCTCAGACAGCTCACTAACATTTTCAGTGAGTGGAGATACCAGTAATATTGAGGTTTCTGTTCCAATGCCAAGGAGGTCTTTGATCATTGTTCAAGGACCAGCTCGCTATAAATGGAAGCATGCAATAAAAAGACAGGATATTCTTTCCAGAAGAATTGCTGTAACATTAAGAGAACTTGCACAAGATTTTTGTGAGGGAGGCAAAAGCTACACTGTTGGATATGAATTAATAAAGACTGCTCTATCATTTCAAGGGGAATCAGTTCAAGTCAGTATTAATAAGGAATGTGAAGGCTAAAGTCACATTGTCGTGTGTATTATGATAGAAGTAAAAAGTATTTTTCACACAAAATTGTGATTAAAAATAAGGATTTTTTTAGAAGTGAAAGTGTTCACATTCTTTAGCAACTTTAAAATAGCTTGTAAAATCATACAATCAAATCAAATTGCATAAGTGTGCTTGCCCTGTATGTACACTGTATGCATCAAAGTGCAGAGGAGGGAATTTTGCCTTATCCAAATTTAAATTGCTGGCACCGTATGAAACAGATGATACAGGTGTCAGCTGTCTGTTAATAACACTTGACACACTTGGGAAGTTTGTAGAGCACTTGTCTCCACATAGAGAAGAAATCTTACTCATTTCTCATGCTCCCAAACTTCACATGAGCATCATAGCTTGATGAGACATGAAACAGAGTTTAAATAAAGGGGAACATGGAATAAAACCCCACTTGACTTTTGATGTAATATTTACTTCTCCCTTCAAATGACTTTAAAATGTTCTTCAAGAGAATTACTTTCACTTATGGTGAGCAAGAAGCTAACCCTTAAACTCCCATGAGTGACCACCTCAGAATTTCCCCTTAAAACATCAACACAGTATCACACAAATAGGTGGGTGATTAGAATAACTCAAACTGGTACAAGAGGTTATCTTGATCTAAGAAAAAAATAGAGGGGAGAATTTAAAACAGATCTTGGGAGTTAAAAGGTCAAGTTAGCGAAGGTTCCACTGTATGATAGCAATATGATGCAGGAAAGCTCGCCTCAGAAACTACTGGGGATTGGTTCTATCATACTACAATGTCCTTCAGAGTTCTCTTTTCATATTCTGACTTAGATTTCTGTGATAAGAGTTGCTTTCTTTGGTGGCTTTGAACCTCCCCATACTTGCTCTAGCTTTTCTCTTTGTTCTCTGTGCTGTCTGTTAGACATGGATACCTCTGTAAGAACAACTTCCATGTTTAGCACAAGAGATTGCAAAATATGAGTGTTTGTGTGAACCCATGCTAATAAAAACTCTACTTTCTTTTTTGCAAGCCACAAAGATTTACATAAATCTGCTTCTTTTTGGTTCATTTTGGAGTTGACTTTCAATCTCTCTCTTCCTCCACTGAGAAGTCGACACAAATGAGACAGAGCACTGTCAACAAAGTTTGTTTTCTTTCTCTCCATAACAACATATCCTTTGATCAAAGAAATAACATCCAGAAGCACCTGATGAGATGATTCCTCAGAACAGTAAAGGTCCTTGCAATCTAGCAGAGCACTCAAGGAGCTGTGAACTACTGACTCCACACTGTCAAACACAGCATTTTTAGAAAGAACAGGTGAAAGCTGTAACAAATTCTCAGCTGCCTGTTCTAAACTGTCTTCTGGACATCCATTGTACAGCCTCATGATATATGCATATGAGAAAATGACATTTATACAACTGAACCGCACATTTGGATTCACATTTGAATTTTTCATGGCTGACAGTAATGATGTGATGTTCCTTTTTAATGCTGGCATCTTTTCCTTTTTTTCTTGTTCCTTAGTTTGGATTTGATGGCTTTTGCTTTTTTGTTCATCTTTCTTTCCTAAAATGTTGCTCCCTTCACTTACAACCTCTATCTTCTTTCTATCAACAGATATCAAGAGAAAAAAAGTAGTTAAAAAGAATCAAATAAAAAACAAACAGGTGCTTGTTATGAAAGTGCCTTCTCAATTAAGTACAAGTGAGTCTAATATATAATTTTCTGGAATACATAGAGGAAACCAGAGCACTTTCGAAGAACCACCTATAAACCAAGCAACTTCAATTTCACCCTTTAATTCCCATGAGTGACCAAGACAGAATTTCTCCTTACAATATCAATACAACATTAAGCAGACAAGTGTGGAGAATAAAGAAAAATTTCCACTGGAGTTTTTTTAGTTGATCCAATGCCAAATTCTCCAAACATCATGAGAATTTTATGCAGACAGCAAGAAGAATTACTGACGAGAGATCTCGGGAGAGAAGAGTCAAACATAGTTCAGTTAGCACAGGGTAATGCAGATAAAGAGGGGTATGAAGGACTTTTGCTTAAAAATGATGGGAATGCTACTCGGAAATATTAGTATCAACCTCATGACCTCATGCTATTCTAATTAACATATAGAGAAGCCTTGACTGTGTTCTGTTGTGTTTTAAAGCACGCAGGAACTGGCTAGAGCGCGAGAGAAGTGTAGGGAGAAACACTCAACTACGTCTCCCCACTTCTTAAGTCCTGCCCATCCACATGGTTTGAAGTTCTAATGTAAACCCTATGTAATTCCCCGATATAATACTCATTTGCGATAAAAACTCTTGTCAAGTCCGTCTAGGCAAGTTACCTGTTATTTCTGTCATCTTGTTTAGTCCACCACGGGATCCAAACGTCAATGACATGAGAAATCTCTCCGCTTTTGACGGCAGATTCAAACTCTTTCTGTTCACTATCTGTCAACGCCGACCACACGGCTTCTGTGTCATTGTTTATATCTACATTTTTCAATCGTTCCTCCAAATCTACAGCATCCTGAAAGCCTTCTTCTTCATCCTGCTTCTTTAGTTTGTGCAACAATTCCAACATTTTATGCTTGTCTTCACTACTACTCTGTTGTTCGCACATTGCTTCCATGACACAATCTTTGTAAAAAAGCTCCGAACACTGTAAGTGTTTATCACTTTTATAGCACACACTGGAACAGTATCGGACATGGCAACGAGGACACGTGTACTTGGAGACTTCTTTAGAACAAAACCCACAAGGCGAGTTGCTCTGAGAGGTCGAAAGAACGTCCTTAAAACGATCACCGGACGATTCATCCGCCATATTGGTCTTTTCTACACCCAGTCTCTTCGCGTATTCGCAAATGGGTAGGACGTTTTGTGCAAGCTCACACGAAGTTGTAATCACTGTTGCGTGACACATTATGTAACTTGTTGACGACTTCAGGTTTAGAACACTTCTGTGTAGTATTTTCAAGAACTAGACGATCGCCAAATAGCTATATTTTTGATATGATTGAATCTTATTTCATTAAGAAAGATTCGAAATGTGCAAAACGCAAGCTGGGCGAGAAGGAAATTGTGGGAGAGCCTGAAATGAAGGTGAAAGCTTGTGACAATCCAAACGAACAACCCTCTTGCTCTAAATTATCTTTTCTTGAAGGAAATAGAAGGACAGACCTTAAATGGAAACGTATAACATCAGAAAATTTAAATCTTGATTATGTGCAGTTATTCTCTAAAACTGAAGCTGACACGCTCTTTCAAGAGGCAGAGAAAGTGATAAAGTATAACAAAGACAGTAAAGTGTTCGTTCATGGAAAATGGCACAATGTCCCAAGAAAGCAAGCAGCTTATGGAGACGCAGGTCTAACGTACACATTCTCTGGTTCAACTGTAGCGGCACAGCCGTGGAGTAATGCTCCCTTTCTCAAGCACATAGCTGACCTTGTTTCATCTCTAACTGGTGGACACCAGTTTAACTTTGTTCTTGTGAACAGGTACAAGGATGGACAAGACCACATGGGTGAACACAGAGATGATGAGGTTGATTTGGTTCCCAAAAGTTCCATTGCGTCTCTGTCTTTAGGTCAAACCAGAGACTTTGTGTTCCGTCACAAAGATGCCAGAGGAAGTGGAGCTAAAAGAAAGATTGATCCTGTTAAGTTTGAACTGTCTCACGGCAGTCTGCTTATGATGAACCACCCAACCAATGTGTATTGGTTTCATTCCCTTCCTGTGCGGAAAAAGGCAATATGCCCAAGAATCAATTTCACATTCAGACAGATGGTTGTAAAGAAGTGATGGATGTTTTCAAAGTTATGAATCTGATACAAGGTGTTGTTTTTGAAGAGCATAATGATATTTTGTGGTTTGCTAGGAGTATTTTGCCATTTGTCAATGGCAAAAATTCATGACCAAAATGTAACGGTCTACCCTCTTGAAAAATTCAGATTGAGTGCAATGCATAGTACTGGCAATGTACCCAACCCTATTTCAGACCTGACTGTTCACAAGAAAAGAGTCACAATTTTGCTAAAAAAAAAATACTGAATTGGAGATTTCAGAATGAATATTTGAAGGTGCAGTAAACCTTTCCCAGTAGAAGCTGATATGAGTCAGGAAATACTCTGACATCACAAACATATAGAACTATGTCTGGTACAGTACTTTGATTGAAATCAAAAGAAAAAAAAAACTAAAACAACAGAAAAAAGAAAGGGAAGTGATTTCAAAGTAGTTTGAATCTAGAAGGATTTGTATGATTGTATGTACTCTGTACATCAGTTCTCATGTATGGAGTTGTTGATAAAGTAAACAATGAAAAGAAGAGCAATCATTGAAATAATTTGACCTGCCAAGTGTGTTGTGTGCATTTTTAACTGGTCTATATTGCATTGAGTTTTTTGGCAGAGAAAGAAAAATTTTAATCTCTTTGTTCCCAATAATGCGCTTTTCAAATTGAAGCCACCTCTGTAACACTTTGACTGGTATCTAATTTCTCTTTACAATATCACCCCTGAATCAAACTTTATGGTCAAAAGAATAAAGGAAATGATCAGCAACTAAAGAACCTCTTGGAAATTCTGCCAGTGCAGTCAGCATCTTAGGAAATGAATATTGAACAAAATGGAGAATATGCAAATTGACGGCTTTTTTATGAATAGCACCATAGCAGAACATTGCAACTTCGCCCCATGTTATCTTCATCATGTATTCGCGTTTCTTTTGTCTTTGACGAGACTGACGTCATAAAAATTTCCCCGGCAGTCACCAGTTCTCCGGTCTTAAAACGGGTAATTTAGGAGAAATGAAATAACAATGGCGGAACCACCAGGAGCGTATTCGGTGAGAGAAGTTGAAATGAATACCGATGAACGCTACGGCTTCAGAAGAGAGTTCAGAAAGCAAAAGTAAGTTTTTAATCCCTTTGTTTTGAATCCTTTTTCTTTAAGTAGGTTGCCTTCTTTGGCCGTTTTACGTCAGTGTGTGTTGTGGTCCCACTTCCACTTGAAGTTGGGGGGTGAAATTTTTGAAGGACAATCGACCAGTAAACATGCAAAGCAAAGCAAGGGTTCTCCGGTGAACCGTCCTTCGTCACCTTTATTGTTTTCATGCGCTATGTTATTCTTTCGATATTTTCGCGAAATGGAAGAACAACATCCATGGAGAAATTCAAAGAACCTTGCGTTCCAACTACTTCACATTCACGATGCATTGTAATGATGTTCTGAACAAATTTACACAAGGGATTTCCAAAGCGATCAGCGCATTTTTATGAAGAATGGTATCAATCCAATCGCAAAGTGATTATTAGTCTTTAAAATACATTTTACTTAAAGGGCTGTTGTTTTTTTAATGTGTTTATGATCCATGACTTTTGCTGTAGCGTGTGACAAATTTAAAAGCGGAAGAACCCCTCAGGAAGTGGTATCTTTTGGGATTTGTAGACCAAAGAGACCAGCCTTTGCTGTTCCCACATTTCAAGGGAGTTCTGTCTCTTCCGGTTAGATTTAGCAACATTGACAACGATTTACGAAAGTGCGTTAAAGGATTTGATCTAAAAGCCATTTACTTTCTTTCGGGTGATAATAGTTGATCGACTGCTTGGTAAACTTCCTCCTCATGTACCCATCTAAGTAAGATCGCATGCCTTGCGCAGAGTAAATCGATGAGTGATTCAAACAAAACGGATTTCTCTCCATGGTAGCATTTAGCTGCTGTTGAAATATAGTGAACTATTAAATAAACCCCTGATATAGATTTATGTCCTTGTGAGCTGTATAACTACCGGTAAGCGCAAATTTTCGAAACATTTTCCTTTTTTCGAATCTTTATTTTGACTACCAGTGGCTTATTGCATGTAGCTACACTTGCAGACACTGCAGGTCAAACTGGTTAAACTTTTGAATACAAGTATATTTGCAAAATTATTTTAAATGTATTCCATCAAATTAATATTTGGACAGTTTTCTTTTGGAATTGTTTACATTCCTATATAGGGTTGGCGACTTGTTCAAAACATATCTAAGCCAAGCTAGGGTGAGGGTGAATTTTTGACTTGGGTTCATTAATTTTCTGATCTTTTTACAAGTTCAACTTCCTTTAATAATGTTTTTCCCTTAACCCTATAACTCCCATGAGTGACCAAGACAGAATTTCTCCTTACAATATCAATACAATATCAACCAGATAAGTAATGAGAATAAAGAAAAATATCAATTTGGGGATTTAGTTGATCCAATATTAAATTCTTTAAACTAACATTATAATAATTGTATGGTTAACTGTAAGGGGAATTACAAATTTGATGTGGTAGTTAAAGGGTTAACAAAGATAAAACCCTGCAAGATGTTTGACCTAATAAATAAATTTCTATGAAAGAAATGAAAATCAATAGAGAGCGAAAACCTGCAGTCCTTCAGACCATTTTTTGTGGTGAATATTTATCAAAGACAAAAAAGAACAAACTGATGCTAGTGCTAATGACTGGCTTAAAAAAAGTTACTCAAATATGTCCCAGAGTGTTGGAAATCATTTCTCAGAAGTTTCAATTTATGGGAGGGAAGCATGCCCGCAGAACCTTGTAGAAGAGCTTGTTGCTTTGCAACACATCATACTTGGGACACAAGTGTAGTTCAATTCAGCCAGCTACTCAGATCAGTTCGGATCTTACAACCCTGATTATTAATCCTGGGATTAGCTCCAAATACATTTAGAATAACAGGCCTCTTATGGTAACTTAGTGGTTATTCATCCTTCATCCTTTTACATTGTTTTAGGCTTTGTTTTAAGGATATGGATTCTAGTGTGGAGGATCATAAAGAAAGCAAAAGGGGAAAACCAGTACCGGTAAGTATTAGAAAAAGGTTTTTCAGCAAAAATGCAGTTTTTATTTTTTTTAATACAGCCATTTATGCAAAATATGTTTGACGTATTTGCTGACACACCTTTTTTAAAGTCCCAGTCTCAGGAAAATGAACCCAGCCCCTTCAATATGACAGCAAAGAACTTTCCTAAACGAAGGTAAGGCATGTGAAACAAACCAAGTTAACTTAATGGGAAATCTTTTTGAGAAAGGTTAACTTTTAGTTGGAATGATAATAGGTGCAATAAGTGAGCCTGGTATGAAAGCTCATATATTTATGGTTTTAGCAAAAAATTAGACTACCAGCTGAAATTTCGAGGGAGGCAGCTCAAAGATGGTGAACTATTGTAGGTGCATAACCTCAAAAGTGCTTGTTGTGCATTACGGAAGAAATCCCTTGTCTAACGTCCAACCAGTGATTATTGCTGATCTGGACATTATCTAAGGCAGCCTATATCCCTAAATACAAACTCCAAGCAAGTATCCACTTTACACTGTACAATCTTACCCAAATAAGAATTTGATGTCAAATCAAACAGTATCCTTAGTTGATATTTATATCTTTTAAACATTCTCATTGCCTTCCTGCTTGAAAAAAGATATTTTAAGGGGACGTTAATAATTAGTTACAAGAATATGGCATTTGATCAAGATAACAACTATGTGATAAGTTAGGGTATTCTTATTACCTGTTTGCTGTATAATGTATCACTTCTGGTAGTTAAGGGCTTAAACACAGGCAGATAGAAGGAAAATGACTTTTTTTAAAAGCTGAACAGGGACAATTACACTGTGAAAAGGTTTTTAGGGATAATTCATCATATTAATTTGATTTTTAGAGAATGTTACACATGGATTGTATTTTTTTTTTATTTCAGAAGCCGAATGCATGCCTCTGTTGCCTCTTATAATCGTACCAGGTAACTTAAATTAGTAAATTCATTTTAAATCACCTTTCAAAGATGGTGCCTTAGAATTTTTATTTTCTTATGAAATTACCTATCAAAATAATAATTATGGGGGAAAAGTCCTTTTGAAGCATATGATTGACCAAAGGCTACCCATTGAACCAAAAACAACAAAACTTCGATGGGATTCTTATTGTTTGTGTCTAAAGCCTTTTAAATTTTTTTCTGTTCACAGAGGGAGTACAGTCAGTGCCAATAAAGCTCTAGAACTTGTTCGAGCAGCTTTGCAGCCTTCATTAAATTCTGAAATTGAGACAGTTTTAAAGAGCTATCAAGAGGTATTTGATATCGTATTGTGGCTTGAGACTCTCCAGTCAGCTTTTATTGGTCATTTGACTTTTTCTAAAGGAGCTTATTCACAGCATTTGCTAGTTGAAAATTAAGCCCTACTTTTTCAAATTCTTCATTCCCATTAGTACTCTGCAATCTTCTGCCTATTTATTTATTCTTGGTTTATCATTGCCTAATATGTACTTTTCTGATCTGATTGTTAATTCTCCCCTCTAGCTGCTCCACATTTCCATGTATATTAGTTACCAGAATTTGGTGTTTGATCAAGATAACAACTACCTGATAAGTTTGAGTATTCTCATTACCTGTTTACTGAACGATGTATGGATATCTAATATACTGATATCTTGTAGACTTCTTGAAGTTCAAAGCAGTCTTGCATAGTACAAGAGGATACTGTTGCAAAATGTAACAAACCTCTTAACTCACTTTAATGTGTATTCTTTGGTGGAAAGCAAAACATCTTGTTTGGTGTTGTTCCTTACATTTGTATGTTGTACTGGTCCTTTGCAGATGTTCCGTATGGCAGCACGTAACATCAAAGACAACACAAGTGAATCAGTCTCAGAAGAACAGATAAAAGCTGTCCTAAGAAGAAGCTTAGATGAGGTGTGATAGAACTACAGAGAGAAATAATTTTGATTTCCCTCCTATGAGTGACCAAGACAGAATTTCTCCTTACAATTTCAAAAAAAAAAAAAAATCAAACAGACAAGTGATGAAAATAAAGTAAGATAACAATTAAGAGATTATTAGGTGATCCAATACCAAATTCTCCAAACCAACATCATAAGAATTGTGTAGAAGACAGTGGGAAGAATTGGTAATGAGATCTTGAGGGTGAAAGGGTTAACATGCTGAGTCAAATATGTCAAATGCCAGGTTACTGCA